AGGAAGGAAACGCTCGTGCTGCCTGAAACAGAGACTGAGCACTACAAAACTCCTTCCTGTTGACTTTTGAAAGGTTTAAAACAAACAAAACCATCTTCATTTAATCAAATGGTCACTGAGGCACAAAATGATCTTCACCAAATTACCACGGTATAAAAGTTCACTTACATCTATTTTACAGGACAACGGTCAGCCTTTGATGGATAAACACATTTAAAATGCTACACTTTAGAATCTGCACAGAAAATAAACACGTATTTTGAATTAGACAATAAACAATAATCAACAGGAAATGTTCAGATCTACTCTGGAGTCCTGTGATTTCTGCCAATGCCGAAAACACAAACAGTATTGCAAAGCTGGGGATTTAAATTGTATTTTTTTTTTTTACCAATCTTTGTCTCCTTTACATTTGCCATGACAGACCAGTTCAGCTGCTGCAGCCTCCTGCAGAAACCTATGAGCAACTTTTGGTACTTTGTCAGCACATAACTGACTGTTCAGCAAAAACAGAAAGAGGATGTGACCAGAACAGAACAGACGAACAGAGAAGAGCGAGCTAACGTTAGCGTTTCAGCTAACTCATCCACATATAAACACTCCATCATAGGAGAGCAGTAAGTTAAGATGAAGATATTCCACTATAATAAAAAAAAAACTACACTGGTTTTAGGTGAAGCTTTGAATCAGTGGAGCTGAAAGTTGTCCAGCAAAACCTCTGGTAGAAAAAAAAAGGCATTGCCAATAAAAAAACAGCATCCTCACCAGTCAGAGAATCAAACAAACACAAAAATGTACAAACTATGAAATTATGTTCATACACGCACTTTTTCTTCACTTTCATATGATGAAACATGAAGAACTTTTAAAAACTAAAAATATCAGGGCTTCTCTTCTGTAGTTAAAGATGTTCAAAATAAAAGACGAGATCTTGCTGACGTGTTTTCTCGAAACCTATTCATATTTGGAGAAAGCAGCGGGCGACAAGTCCTGATAAAATCCTCCCACTGCAGCACACGCTCAGAGAGATCAGCTCACTGCATCACTTTACCTCAACAAAGACGCCCACAAAGATCTGACCAGTAAGACGATGCTCACCGCAGACCCCCATCAGAACTGTATGTAGTTCTGATGGGGGGCACAGCACCAGACAGGGTGTCGACGAGTGGTAAGAGTAGAAAACTACACAAATTTTTACACGTATCTTCTCACAGAGTACAAATCAGGCTTGAAACAGTTTTTGCTGATTTTAGTTGTTCACTAGACTTTCATTTGGGGGAAAAAAAATCCTTGCCAGAACTTGGGCAGGTTTGAACAGAGTGAAAGAGTCGTGTCTTTTTATGATTACTGCTGAATAGAGCTGCCAAAAACTGTTATTTTTATAGTCGACTAATCACAGATTATTTTTTCGATTAGTCAACTAATCAGATCATACGTTAATTGAATATAAAACATACAGCTTATCGCGCCAGAATGCAGCTGCTATTATATAACCATGGTTAGATTTTAGCTATATGCTAACTAAAAATAGTTGCTGTGGAAGGTAAGTTCTGCCTGCAGATATTACACAGGTTTCTCTTTCATTTTCTTAAAATGATCCCACACACTTTGAGCTCCATTGGTGGGTAGCCATGATACCAGAGTCTGTCTGTATAATGGCTGTGTCCAAAACAACAGGCCGGGTCCTCCGAAGGTCGAATTTGTCGGCCACATACATCACAGCGCCGCGACGAAGGA